TCAGGTGCCCACCAAAGCCACTGTATCACTCCCCTCCTCAGCTGGGCAGGGGGAGAAAGACTGAAAGACACATGGGTCAGGATAAGGACAGGGAGAGATCGCTCACCAGTCACCTTCACAGACAAAACAGACTTGACTTGGGGAAATTAGTTTTATTTGTTGCTTATCAAATCAGAGTAGGGTAATGAGAAAATGAAATATAATCTTTAAAACACCTTCCGTCCARCCCTCACTGTCTCCCAGGGCAACTTCACTCCTTATTTTCTCTATGCAGCTCCTTCAGCAGCTGCAGTCAGTTCACATGTTGCCTCTGCCTCTCCCTTCTCCTCAGTGGGAGGACTCCTCACACTCTGTGTCTGCTCCACTGTGGGATCCCTTCCACAGCAGACAGCCCTCCATGAACCTCTCCAATGTGAGTGCTTCCCACAGGCTGCAGTTCTTCACRAACTGCTCCAGTGTGGATTCCCCACGGGCCCCAATTACTGCCAGCAAACCTGCTGCAGCTTTGGCTTTCCATGGGGTCCTGCTCCAGCACAGGCTATCCATGAGGTCACAGCTTCCTTCAAGACACMTCCACTGTCTCCAGTTGTGACCCACCATGGGCTGAAGGTGGATCTCTGCTCCAGTGTGGACCTCCATGGGCTGCAGGYCACAGTTGCCTCACCGTGGTTTTCACCATGGTGCAGGGAATCTCTGCYCTGGCTCCTGGAACACACCCTCCACCTCCTCTTGGGGTCTGCAGAGTTGTTTCTTTSACATAKTCTCACTCCYGTCTTTYRACTGCTGTTGCATAGTAACTTTYCCCCCTTCTTAAACCYGTTATCCCAGAGGTGCTAGCCTGGCCCTGATGGGCCTTAGCCTTGTCCAGAAGTGGGTTTGTTCTGGAGCMAGCTGGCATCAGCCCTATTGGACATGGGAAGGCTTCAKCYGCTTCTCACAGAAGCCACAYCTGCAGCCTCCCTGCTACCTGYCATGCAAACCTAATGCAGAAGTTCTTGGTTACTTCRATGCATGTATTTCTGAAATACACTGAGGTATTATTTTATTTCTATGAAAACCCTGGCCTTTGCTGCCTAGACACTTTTTGTACCTCAGTTTTGATGTTGCTTATCTGTGGAGGCATAATACTGAAATCTTGAAAACTGGCTTCAGTGTGGCATCATGCATGCTTTTTGTTGCCTCTCAAGGTTCCTGTCAGGAGGAGAATGTTCTCACCCCTTCAGTCCTTTTTCATTTCCGGGGGAATTGCTTTATTTAAAAGGCGAATCACATAATGAGTAAGATTGGAAGGRACCAYAGTGGSAAATCAATTGCCCTCAATTTACTATTTGCTTAATGAAATATATGGAAATTATTTACCTGTATTGTCTATTACTGCAAAAATTATTCTTTATCTACTTACTACTGTAACACTGAGGCATTTTATAAATAAAAGGGATGTTAATTCGTAGAATTATCGAATCATTTACATTGCAAAACACCTTTAAGATACCTCAGTCCAGCCCTAACTCCTTAGACATTTTTTCTTTCTGAGAATAATTGCATAATTTTGATATTTGCTTTTAAAAAGGTGCTTAATTTTACTTATTATGAATTTTTGTTTGCTTTTAATTGAGTAGTCTTACTGTAACCTAATATGCAACCAGATTACTTGCAAACCTAACTATAAATTTAAGCACTCTGATAAACTGTGAATTCTCTTTAGMAATAAATGATGTGATCCTGTCAAGATCAGACCATACTAAAATAATGAATTTTCTTCATAGAATAACAAACTGTCAAAAAAAAAAAACCTCCAAAACCCTGTTTCACCTGTACAACCTCCATTTATGCACCTATAGAAACTCACAGGARCTCAACTGTACCCTGTGGTGTCTTGACTGGACTTGTCTCAAGTTATCCTGTTGATGAAATTTGTAATCTTTAGCTTCACCTAGATAATAACACAACACTGTGAGGTGCTATAGTGAGTTCATTTACCTGGAAAATTCCTACCTRCCTTTATTTTGAGATCTGTTTCATGAACTGGATGTGTGCAAGGCTGGTGAGTGGTATATACAGCGATAGTATGACCTAAAAGTGTCAAAGGCCATTGCCTTTGGTAACGCTATGTCCAAAAGAAAGACACAAAATCTTCAGAGCAGATGGTGCAGGTTTTTTTGTGATAAATCTTAGTCACAATGGCTTTGATTGTTAAGAGCTACTAGAAAATTGCCTCTAGCAACAGAACATTTTCCCAACAACAGGGGAGGATTTCATAAGTTCAAAAATTGGTATATTAATCACTTTCATTCAGTAAATGTAAAAATGAAGGGARGTGACTCAGAGCTACACTCCCTGGATATGTCTTAAAAAGTACGTACTTAGAAAACTGAAGTGTACATTATTTTAATATAGAGGCATCTAAATCACATCTGAATTCAGAAGGGATTTTCACCCTGGTGATCCCWCTGGCTTAAATTAGATTGTATGACATGCATTTGAACATCTCTTCCAACTGTAACGACTTTTTTTACAGCAGTCATGTACAAAGTTTGTATTGGGGTAGGGTCAGGATGCAAGTCATCCATATTATTTAATGCAAATAACTGCATTTTTTTTCTGAGACAGATCAAGAGGACCAAGTAATTAAGCACATAAATGTATTTTTACCTTTTCTCAGTTAAAGAATATTAGAAACATTAAAATTAAGTAGCAATAAGCTTTTTCTAAGCATCTCAAATCAGGGTGGTGAGCTATAAATTATGGAGTGGTGCTTCTTACAAATAAAATTSTGCATTGCATSTTTAACTGCAGGGTATTAGGTTCCMAAYRCAATTAAAATTATCTTCTARAATGAATGTAATTAGAGTATTGAATAGCTTTAATAACCATTTGTGAAAAGATTTAAGTTTGAACAGTTTTAGCTTCTGCCTTGGAAACTAATTAAGTTAATTTAGTTTAGATAATGAAATAATTAACAAAAGTACTTTTTAACAAATCATGACTGAAGTCCTTTGTCTTTGTTCTGAGGCTTAAGTCTTAGGCTGTTCTTTATAAGTTTTTCTCACTCCTATTTTTCAGTGCTTCTCGGAGGAGAAACATTCTCTGCCCAGGTGCTGTTGAAGCTGTGGCCCCACGGCGCTGTGGGCGCTTCCCTCCCTGATTTACTGCCAGGGTGCCTGGGTGCTTTTAGCACCTGTGAGTTTCTGAGCTATGTTCACTTCTATTGAAGTTGAGGAAAGAAATATATCTAACAGCTTTTGATGTTAGGCTATTAACCACTGCATCATACGTTTTCCTAATTTTTTATCATCTTGTTTAAGTGCTAAGCCATCTAGAAAGACCCAAACCCAATTTTTACACTGAGGTCAGTTATCTTCTGTATAAGGTGTTAGTTATGAGGATTTCCAGTGATGCAGATTTTATAAAACCAGGTTCTGATGCTCATATAATCTTATATCCAGTCTCTCTAAATTGATTTATTATGCTTCTTACCCATTATAAGCCTGGAGGAAAAACAAATGCTGGCTTTTCTTAATTCTGAAAGATTGTTTGCCCTGAAGACTTTCACCTTTCACCTTTCTCTTTTTTCTTTCTTCTCTCCCTTTATTTTCCCCTCCTTTCCRTCTTAAACCTTGTTTTCTGTGTTTACTTCATAGCATACATTCCCCAGGCAACTTACTGTTCTTTCTTTTTTTACCCTCATCCAAATATGATTAAATAATGGCACATATATTCTTATTGGGAAGTCTCTGATGTTTAGTAAGTAACAGATAACTCACACATCAATTAAGCTTTTCTTATTATTTTAGGGTGACMTATGCCATTTTCTCATATCCATATTATTGATTTATTAGCTTTTCAGCTGATGTTTGTCTTAGCCTGCTTGGAGCAAGGAAGGTTGAGATCACTAGTATTGATTAACAGCTTCTATAATTCTATAATTTCCACCTAARTCTGGCAAATGGTGCTGCATCTGTGACTGGAAGATCTACTCTCATCAGCAGGAGGTAGTAGAAATCCAAGCCTCATGCAGGCACCACGGTTCTGAGTGTTCCTGTTCTTTGATTTTGTAGTGCTACACTAGTGCTTGTGTATGTGTGCCTGTGTACATGGACACTTCATGATTAGAAAGTGACATTCTCTCTTTGTTGTGACAGCTGGTGTGCACAGTTAGTAGAGTGGGAGAAGGTGATTGGAGGTGCGGCAGTGCTTGGGTTCCAGGCACTGGCATCAGGCTCCAAGAACCACTCAGCATTTTTTGACATCACCAATCACCTTTTTTGACATCTCCCCATCTCATTCACAGTGATCAGTAGAAGATGTGTTCTCAGGTCTTTTGCAGCAAATTACTAAGGTATAAAAAAAATCCCTATTGGGGGCATTTGCCCAGAAAAGAGGTAATTCTTAAAGACATAGTGAGATATATTAGGCAAAAATGTYAGGTCAAAAATGTATTAGGGCATGGTACCTGTTGGATACAGGGTGCCTGATTTTAATGAGCATTTGTTATATGTGTATTGTGCATAGTTGGGTCTTAACTGGGAATAATTAAGTATCTACATACTGCATGTGGTCTTGTTTAAAGGTACGTGCAGGGTACATGAAGGGATCCTGAGAGCTGCTGTTGCAATATGATGCAGCAAAACTAGTTGAATATTTTGATCTGTGTTTTCCTGTTGCATCCTTTTTGAATTTAAAATATGCAATATAGGACAATTCGAGCAGAGTTTTCTTTCATAAGAATGAGRGTGCTGTTAACAATTTAGACTTCTCCTCCAATGTGTTGCAGGGCCTGCCCACTGGAAGGAGGTTTTTCCTGTTGCTAATGGAGACCGTCAGTCACCCATTGACATCAAAACTGAGGAAACCAAGTATGATCCCTCCCTCCGTCCTCTAAAGCCCAGTTATGATCCAGCTTCTGCTAAAATCATCCTTAACAACGGGCACTCCAGCAGTGTGGAGTTTGATGACACCGTCAACAAATCAGGTTTGTTCCTTTACTGCGGCACTSTGACTTCCTCCAGCAGTTCCTAAATAGAATGCCTACAGCATGGACATGTCTCACTGCTGAGTATGAACTTCTTATAAACAGTAAGGCTTTGCTCCTCTGGATGAGAGATTCCTTTTTTCCCTGTCTTCCAGCATGTTACAGTGTGGGAACATATTTGGATGCCAGTTCGAGGTTGTGTTTCTCCGAAAGTGCTGGGATTCCCTAGTCACAGGAGTGGTTTGATCCACCCCAACGAGCTGGATCGTGCCAGCCCCCTCTTTGAACAATGTTGTGTATAATTTTTCAAGTGCCGCTCTCTGTCACTGCAGATGAATCCTTTATGTTTCATTACAGGTTCATTCCAACCGAATCGCTCAAATCTCTTATCTGAATTTAGCTGAAGGTTTGGTTATAAGTTCTTCCCCTTTTTACAACCTATACCTGGACTTCTTGTGTCAAATAAGAGCCAATCCAGAATGAATGAAATAGATCCCAAGTAATCCCTTTTCTTCTCTGAAAAGTATTATCGCCCCAGTCTTTTCCAGGAGTATGCAACTTCCCTTTTTGCATGCAATAATTCTTATTTAGAAGTTCTCTGGTTTAGCCTAGTCTTTGTTATATTCGCGTCTTCATCCTTAAGACCTCTTGGATTTTGGGCAAGCCAGCATATCTCCCCTTCAAGACATAGGAATGCAGAATCCTCAAGCAATAAAATAATTTTGTGGCTGTGTGAGGCTTAACTGAGAATCCAGGATCACATGATGCTTTCACAAAGATCAGAGCCAGAGAGGGACTAAATTTTGATGATGATGTYCATTAGTCCTGAGAACTTATTAGCTCACTGTGGCAAGAGGGAGAGACATAGATGGAGACACCATCATGTTTTTGTTTCCTGAACWGTCTTAGTTTTAAATTTTCTGTCAACATTGGATGTTGCCTGAAAGCCACCAGCTGACCATCAGTGACCRGTCTGACCTTGTGTCAGATGCCACGGAACTTCGCAGAATTAATCTCTGCTTCGAGCCTAGTAGACGCTGGTGAACTAAAGCACATCTCTTAGAAAAATATGCAATCTTGATTTCAAATTTTCCAACGATGATGAACCTACCACAGCCTTTGGTAAGTTGTTCTAATTGTTAATTACCCTCACAAAAGAAAAAAAGGTAATGAATACACCAAGAACCTCTTCCACTCTCTTAACTCCRTGAGGTGATAGAGCCTGAACATAGTGTCTCTGTGGGCTTCCCCTAGTACCAAAGCAATGGTAATGTGATCCTCCTCTTACTGCTTTCCTCAGGCCATATCTCCAAGGATATAGTTCAAATCATGGCAAAGCACTGACAGATGTTGATCAGATAATTAACAGATAGAATCCCCAGTCTCCTTCAGAAGACTCCATGTCTTCTGTGGACCAGATTGTTCAATCCACATCATAAACTAAGTAATTCACAATTTTCCCTAATATTTGTCACTGACAAACTTTATCAGTCATGTTTTTGTTTTCTTTCAGGTCATTGCTCAAAAAATACTGAATTTTCTAGGGCCCAAATTTGGCTTCTGGGGGACCCCTGTGAAGTAAGAACTCCTGCCATGTGTTGGTTTCATGAAAAAAAAAAGAAATTAATTGATACTAAATGCATTAGCATCTTTTAATGAATAATTAATTGACTTCCATATGAACTATTTCTTCATTTTGGTCAACATTGGAACTAGGCTGTCAAGTCGTAACTGTTTGAGTAAGTCTGTTTATGCTCTTTGGTAACACATTAGCTCCATTCTTTGAAATTGTTCTATCGATCTTCCAGCATTTTTCAAAATTTGAGATCCTGATATTTGCCTTAAAATCTTCTGACTACCCTATTCCTTAATTACTGTTGGAAGGAAAGATGTTTCACAAATACATCAACAGGCCGTTTTCCACATTTTCAACAGAAGTGCTGCATGCTGGTGCATTTCTACATAATGGCTTTTCCTCAGCCAGTTAGAATGCCAACCTTTATGCGTTTCCAGGATCATTTTCCTCCATGCTTACAGTCCTTAAAASAAAGAATTTAAATGTGTCGCTGTCCCATCTCTGTTTGCTAAGCTTATAGGCTGTGTAAATGCATGTTTTTGAGTCAAAGCTTTAAGGAACTTAAATTTTTCCACATAGATTAAACAATCCCAGTTGCTTTTCATTATCCCAGCTACTTGTGTTAGCAGACAGGCAATTTAAAAATTCTTCTGCCATCTTTCTTTGGTCTATTTTGTTCCTAAGGAAGTTTAGGTTTTGGACTAAACSTAGAAGAGAGAAAAAAATTGCTATTGTCCTCCCTATTGCTCTTAATTAAAAAAAAATCTGGTTCAATCTCCCCTCATTTCCACTAAAAATTTCTATAATGAGCCATTAAACTATTCCAGACTGATTCCCAAACKCTCAGAGGACGTATGGRGCKAGGAGAGTGGAGTGATTTGTTTTGCAATTAATAAGCAATCTTTCTGAATGTGATTCACATTCAATTCCCTGTGCAGATATATTTTGATTCTAAGTCTGACGAGAAAATTATGAGCATTTGCAAAAGCAAAACTGTGAAAAGCCCACCCATGCACATGTTAGTTTGAATAGAATTAGAACAGAACAGAAATAGAACAGAACAGACTAGAATAGAATAAAGTAAACTCTTTCAGTTGGAAGGGACCTGCAATGATCATCTTGTCTGACTGCCTGAGGAATTCAGGGTAAAGAAAAGGTTAGAGCATGTTGGTAAGGGCATTGTACAAATGCCTCTTAAACTGATAAGCTTGGGGCTTTGACCACTCTCCAGGAAGCTTGTTCCAGTGTTTGGCCTTCGTGATAAAGAGATGCTTCCTAGATTCCAGTTTAAACCTTCACTGGCACAGCTTTGAGCCTTACCCACGAGTCCTATCACTGGATACTTGAGAGAAGAAACCAGCAGCTCCCTTTCTGCTTCCCTTCCACAGAAGTTGTAGAGAGCCATGAGGACAACCCTCAGCCTCCTTTTTCCAAACTAGACAGATCAAAAGTACTTAGCTGCTCCTTATAGGACGTGCCTTCCAGCCCTGGCTAATTGTCAGTAATATTGCAGTTGTACAATGCCTATGTAGCATTGTATTGTATTTAATTTYGTTTAGGTTAATATAAACTCCTTTTTCTCAGACTTCAGTCTGATATAAGTGGATCTAGTTGCAAATGAAGGAAAGAGACCTGAACATTTGTTAAGCTCCCACTATTTTCCTCCAAATTTCAAAGAGGAAAAGAAATTCTGCTGACATTACATTTTTATGACCCTGCTCCTTATGCATAAAACCAATATTTTGAGCTTAAWTTCTTAGTGATTCTTTTGAGTATAATCAAGAGAGGAAACCCATGAATGTTCCAAAAAAAAAGGTATTTTCCCATTTACTGAGAAATACCCAACCCATAGCAAGACAACCTTGGTAATAACAGTATACCCTTTAGTGGGCTATAACCCTCTAATCTCCCCATAAATGCCGTTTTCGTAGTCATATCCTCAACAGATGAGGGTTTTTTCTGTAGTACTTGCAAGAAATGGGAAGCCTTCTGAGACAGCTTATAARCAGGAGCAGAGGACTGTCTGAAGACTGAAGTCTGGTGTGAGGTTAGAGGATATGGGTAGAGACTCCCATTCTCTCAGTGATGTCTTTCCCTCTGCTTGGGTTTCCAGTGCTGACTGGGGGGCCACTCAGTGGGACCTACAGGCTGCGCCAGGTTCACTTCCACTGGGGATCCAATGATGAAGCCGGCTCTGAGCACATGGTGGATGGGATGAAGTATGCGGCAGAGGTAAGGCTTTGTGTGGGGTCATCTGTACTGCTAAGCTTGTGACTAGTATTCCATTGCAAGAATAATGTTGCCCGTCCTCTTCCTGCTTTTCATCTTCCCCTCATTTTATCAAAAGACAAGCGGTCTTCCTGAAGTGTTGCATGTTTGGTCCTTTCTCAAAGGAGAACCTATTTGAAAGCTTTGGAGAGGATTAAAAAAAGGAGTACAGAAGACAAGAGCTTGATAAGAGCAAGACCTAATGTTCAACAGTTATTTTAAACTWTTCATTGTCTCTTCCTTGGAGAACATTTTCAAAAAGTCATCTTCGGTGACAAACCACAGAATTATTGGATTTGGGGCCTGTGTAGTGTAAAGTTTATGCAAGACTCAGGAATGTTGCATTTTGTGGTGTGCTTGGCAATGTGGTGCTTATGACTGAAAACCACACTTTAAAATCTGTGGGATGCCTACTAGCTGTGGGGTACTGTGTTTCAGTTGAGGTGCTGTGCCACAGGGAACAGTGCACCATCTGCTCTGGCATTGAGTGTTCACTCCTGCTCTGTCTCCTTTGGTGCATTTCACTAATCTGCAGGGAAAAGTAGTCAGTATGAGATTCCTCTTTGCAAATGGAAGTAACATGAAATATTTTGATGAGAGTGAGATCTTTAAAACCAGTTTCAGAGGTTTCTGGGGTTAAAAAGGAGTAAAAAGTGTAAAAATAAATTGACRAAAGGGATAATGCTACAGAAGAAAAAAATGTAATGTATGCACTGTGGTGTGATCAAATTTTGCTGGAAATGCTATAAGAGATACTGATCAGGAAAAAAGATCAGTTTTCTAACAGTAATGGGGAAAAGTGACATTTGCAGTGTTTAAAGGCTTATGTTTTCCACAGGAWCCAGGTGAGATGGAATATAAAGAATTAATAGAGGTGCTTTAAAACCATTAAGTACCAAACCCAAATTTCTAGCTGAGAAAATTTATCTGTTTTCCATCTAAGAAACCAAGTGGAAGGAGCAAATATCTCTGAATTTCTAGCCAGTCTAAAAGCCTTTCTGTTACCTGTTGGTTGCGTAACCRTCCACAAGAAGCTCTCTTGATGTCACTTTGGCTTTGGGATAAGAAACTAAGAATTAAAACCAAGGCTTCTGAATATTGTTCACACAAAAGAAAATACCTAAGAARCAGACATGAAGATGGTTTCAGTGCTCACCTTTGTAAGGAAAATATGCAAGATTTCAAGAAAAGACATCGACTGAATTGAAGAGTTAATGTRCAGGTAAAGAAGATTTCAAGGTTTGGCACCTAAGCCCACTGGGAAGCGGAAGGGATCCATGGCTCCATTCTTTGTGACAGCATACAGTCTGATCAAGGTCTCTTCACAAGCTGCAGTGACAGAGTGGTGGTAAGACGGGATATATTCCTTAAAGAGAAGTCACAAGCCATTGAGAACGGGTCTGTACCCAAAAGTGTTTCACRCTCTGTTTGTCTGGGGGTTTTGTTTATTGGAGGATTATCTTTTTGGGTTTTTTTTGGCAAAACTAAGAGGGAGTGGGAGTAGGCTTTTGGTAGCAGTGGGAATTACCCTTTTTGTTGTTCAGTGGGTTGGTTTTGGTGGCTGTTTTTTTCTTTTTTTTTCCAAATTCACAATAAAAGTAATTTCTCACTAAGAGTATCTGTTTCCTTTTTGTGTATGTAACAATGTAATTAAAAGTTGTTCAATGTAGGTCTGTGAACTTAAAATGGGAGGCTGTGCTGACACTCCGAGCTCCAGGATATTAATGAACTTGAGGAAGGTTTAGTGGACCATGTTTTCCTCCTTGTTTAGTTTATAATATTCTTTGCAAGTTTCCTTCAAGGATTTCTAAAGCTGTGAGCCAGCATGTGTGTCGTTGTGGACCTACATGAATTATTATTGACTACAGTGGGTTTCCTTACTTTCTTCAGCACTTTAGACCCCAAATGCTTAATAAACATTGATCTCAAGTAAGACCAAGTCAAAGTTCCATTTTACAGATATGGAAAATTGAAACTCATAGATGTTAGGCAAGGATTGATATTTAAAATCTTCATACTCCTAGATCCCTATTTCAACCTTGCAGCTATGTTGCTTCACATAGAAATCCTTTAAAGGAAGTTTCAGCTTTCCTAAATTGTTCTTATTTTACTTGTCTCATAGGTGCTGAATTCCAAAATGAAGCCTCTTTTTCATGGGTTCATCCCAATTTATGAAATTCATTGGAGCTKCTTTTCAGCATTCTTAAAGTCCAAAATCTGAAAAGATGGTCACCAATTTTAGAAAAGCCAATCTTGTGTTCTGCTTCTGAGCATCTTTATCTGAAAACTATATGTAATAAGATTCACTAATCCATTGGGGATTTGTGAAAGTAATTAATGTTTGTGAATTACTTAGACTTAAGTGCTGTGTGAGTGTGTTCCCTCCAGTTTGGCAGTCAGACCACTGCTCAAGGCTGGGACATCCTGGCACTTCCTGGGAACCAGGAGCTCCSATCATAAAGTGTGGTCAGGAATTAGGAAACCTGGTTTAGCAGGAGGGACTTAGGTGGCATGGAAGTAGACATCACAGGCTTTTCCTCCTTCCACATGTTTGGGTAGTGTCTTTAAGCCTCTTAGGCAAATATGACACGGTATTTCCAGAATAATGCATATTGGAAACATAGATGCTCAAACCTGAGATAATCAAGCTGCTTGTGAGAGCATCGCTACTGGTAGTCATAGAAAATGACATTTGAAAAGTGTCAAAACTRAAATGCTGATCTTGCCTTCAGCTAAACAAGGGAAAAGGGGTCATTGCAAGTTTAATGTATTTGCCTGTTTTCTAGCTATTTATGTGGCTGATTAATGTTGCTGAAAGCTTGATTAAAGAAAAAGAGGAGTAAAATACTAATGACATCCTCATGAATTTCAATCACTTTTTAAAATCAGCTGTACTAAAAACAGATTTAAAACCTTTCATTATATAACCATTGGCTTTCTTGTCTGAACTTCTCAGTTCAAAATCTGGGGACCCAACAGCAATTTGACAAGGCACTGTGGTGTTCTTATTGCTGCTAAATTTTGAATAATCCCAGCCACTGAAAATGCTTTTGCCATTAGTGTGAACTACATATTTACTGATTTCATTAAATACCTGCATTTAGAATAGTGAATGGTTCTGCATACAAAAGAGTGAAGTAGAATATCAAATCCAGTACAGTTGTAATATTCATTTGCCACTCGAGTTCAGCGAGAGTTGATGCTGTCTGTGTCTCTTGCTTTTCAGCTTCATGTGGTCCATTGGAACTCAGAGAAGTATTCCAGTTTTGTTGAGGCAGCTTCTCAGCCAGATGGATTAGCAGTCATGGCTGTATTTCTGAAGGTAAGAAGAGTCTGCTTCAGCCCTTATAATACATCTGCATTATAAGCCCATAGAGRTAATGATTGTTGTAATTATTGCTGAAGAGTTGTTATACTTATTGCTTTATACTTATCTCCTTCATAGTGTTTAGCTGCCAATATAGAGTGGTGTGCTTCCTTTAAGAATAAAAATACCAGATTAATAGATATTTCAAGACAGTCAAACACTTCAGTTTTCCTAGTCTGCACTCCCATACAACATTAGATGTGGAACTTAATTCAGCTGCTCCTRTATGTGTCCCAATAACTTGTTCTTGACTAGCAAGTTCCTTTAGGGGRACAGCTTGATTTCAAAGTTTCTTTAATGGCTTGCTTCTGGGCTGATAGTTTCTTCTAGAAAATAATAATAATAATAACAATAACAGTAACATTAACAACAATGTGAAAACAAACTGGAGAATTTCCTAATAATTATTTTATATCTTTTTGTCTTCTCTACCTGTTCTAAGATTAAATTCATGCAACAGCTTCATTGACTTCTGTTTGAAGAAGCAGATGGGGAATTCACACAATCTATGGCAAAAGACAGGGCTTTGGTAAAATCTGTGGTTTCTGGTGGCTGACACAATCTCCTGAGAACAGCTGTTACTGGTGCTGGCACAGTCAGAGAGCCATTCCATGCAGCAGTTACAAAGAACTGCTTCAGCAATTCAGCARTTCTGTCTTGTCATTTTGCATTTCAGTGACTCAAGGGAAGTGTCACCGGATTTCTTAGCACACAAATTTTGTTTGGAATGTTCTTACATAAGAACAGTGTTTTCAATGGTACAAGCAATTTAAGTTTCTGATGTTAGTCTGTAACTTTTAATAGCCCACATTTCAAAACATGAAAAACAAATTATTCATATTTCCCTGTAGTGAAAAGTTTGTAATTCTTTTGTTGCTGAAATAATTACTATGAGTAGCCAAAATACTATCAGCAAAGGAGTGGATCTTCTTTATGACCAGTATTATTTTTAAGGACCAGCTAGTCAAAGGCTTGTTCTCAAAAAGGCATCAGCTCTTACAGTCCTTTGGTACAGTTATATAAGGCAGTTTCATTATGCATTTGCTTTTTATTATTTTTTTTTATTATTCTCTGGAACTCCAGTGTTTCTTTTTTGTTTGGTGTCAATAGATTGGTGAATGCAACCCTCARCTGAAGAAGATTACTGACCGCTTGGACACCATCAGAATCAAGGTGAACAAGTATTCCAAAAGAATACGAATATTGGTGGTTGCTTTTGTTGTTCTGGTGTGGTTTTTGAAAAATTTTTGAAGCCTGTCTGCTACTCCCTGCACCTTCATGTTTCCTAATCCCTAGCAATCAATACACGATTTAATATGTGCATTCTATTTAGGTTGAAAACTAAGTAGACAAAAAGTAATTTTTGCACAGTAAAAGATCAGAGGAAAAGGCTAATTCCTCACAGAACCCAGTGTCTGATAAATCTGTTGCTATGAGGCTAGTTACAGGGGAAAAACATACTTCATTGAAAATTATGGAAAAAATGAGGGAAAGACTTCCTCTCCTGCTTTACTGAGGTACAGGGTGAGAAATAACCTATTGTTTATGTGTGAGAAATAACCTATTGTTTATGTGAGCCTCTCACATGATGGTTCAGAAGGACATCTCTGGCCTGTTATCTGGTACAGGGAGAAGCAGTAGTACCTCTTGGGAAGAGTGGGTGGGGAGGAAAACAAGTGGCAGTAACTTGTAGGGTTACACTGGCAGCCCCATAGACACCACACTGAAAGTCTAACATCTTCTCTCCCCACAACTTCCATGGCCATCTGTAACTTGTCATGGCCATCTGTAAGTTGGGGAGCCTGTGCTACCATGGCACCTTTGACAGTATCCTGCTGGCATCAAGGAAAGGCACAGCAAAACTGCCACAGAGGTGAGACTTCATCAGAAGGGCACTGATGAGGAGGTCCTGTCTTCACTCAAGATGCTGCCAGCCCACCTTRTAGTGGAAAAAGCTCTACCTCCTTAGGCATGACTGACCTTGGCCTCTTGCTTTTAAATAATATTGCCCTGGTATTTATTTTTCTTTTATTTCTTTCCAGGGGAAAAAAGCACTATTCACAAACTTTGATCCTAGCTGTCTGCTTCCCAAGTCCCTGGACTACTGGACTTACTTTGGCTCCCTCACTGTTCCCCCTCTTCTTGAGAGTGTCATCTGGATTATTYTGAGAGAGCCCATAACTGTTTGTTCTGAACAGGTATTCTTTGATTTTTTGCTGCTATAGAAATGTTGCTTATGTAAATGTCACTCAAAATTATGGGKTTTTGCAGACCTTGGCATTGCATACCTTATAAGATTTTCAAAAGGCAAAATATGGTGATGGTTAGAAATTCCAGAATTCCATTTGATTTAATTATTTGCATATCCTGCTCAAACTTTGTCTTTGGCATTTTTATCTGGCAGATAAAAGTAAATTTTGAAATGAAAAGTAAATTTTGTCTTGCATTCCAAATATGTAAAACTTGATGAATATAATAGAATTGTGAGATGTGAATWCAAGTAGTAAGTTGGTGTTATGCTGAGCTGTCTCAGGAAAACTTCGATACTACATAAAAGTCTTATTTACATTTCTCGTTAAAGCTTCATGCTGTATCTTAACTTGGCAGCAGTGACACCCAGCGGGCTGGTCCTCTTGGGTGTRAAGTTTTTCTGAGTAGAGAGCACATACTCAGCAGAAAGTTACTTCAGTCTTTGTTCAAAATGTTCCCTGAATGGGTTSCTTGTTAGGAAACCTCAAATTCTGTTTGTAATTGATTTGAAGTCATRTATTTGCTCAATGTGTGTGTCCATRTCTCTTCCTCAYTCCCCTCAATCTGGCTTTGTAAGGCACTCTCCAATATGTGTAGGATTGAAAACTTGTGTTGAGTTTCCATAAACTTTCCAAAGACAAGCCATTGTTCAGGTTAAAAGCTTCTTATCTGGGCAAATCTGTAATTAATACATTTTAGAATGTGAAATGCTGTATACAAACAGCCATGTGTAATACATTCAGAGGACCTGGTCTGGGAAAGTGTCAAGTATAGTGATTCTTTATTAGACATTTTTCATAGACTTTAGCTATATYTCATATATTGAAGTAGAAATATGCTATATTATTATAAACATGCACGTAGCTGAATTGTTTTTTTTCCAGTAATGTCCACCATTTTGACTGATTAGTCAACACCATGACTGATACTGTTCTACCATTTAATTTTATTCCTTTGTATTTCTTTAAGGTTTGTATTTCTTTAAGGCTTKAGAGTTTACTACTGGCTTTTGGTTGCATTTTTCAGGTGGAAAGAAATTTAAAATAGCTTTTAAGTTTTTAGACACTTATAAGGGTCTGAATTACAAATGTTAGCTTTAGATGGGGTGAAGCAAGATAGAATTTATGTTCTTTGCTCTTAATGCCATTATGATGCAATGTGCCATACAATATTTCAAATGCTCTATTATATTGKAGTGGTTTTTGTGCTGTCCTACCTTTGATAACCTAGAAGGGAAGCAAGGTGATATATAGGAATAGTAAATACTGGAAATAGTAGAAATGAAACAAAATTCTGAACTTAGGTCAGAAGTCAGGCTTGGATTTCCCAGGGTTTAGACATGGACCTCTGATAGGGGTTTCTGCTGAGATCAGCATATGCTGAATTAGGAATAATAGCTTGTCCTGTGTCTTCACAAGGGAAGAATTTGAAATCTCCCCTGGTTTGAGTAAGGGCTAATTGCAGAAGCTTTCTGTAGCACCACACCTGCAATTCCAGGTTAATTGTGAATATACTCTTTGAACAAGGAAATATACACAGAATGATTTTATGATAAAAAATATAATCTTATTTTTTTGCAAAAAGCATTTAAGAATCTCCAAACCRTGAAATCCAGCTAAAAAAATATAACCCACTCCCTGGTTTAGATCAGGCTATGGAAGCCAGTGTGAATAAAGGAAACAAGTAATCCTTATACACCTGTTGACATGTATTTGGGGATGTTTCTCAGTAGTCATCCTTTTTCGTTTACAAGGATAGAAATAGTGAAATTGCCATTCCCCATATGCTTTAATAAAATACACTTCTATTCTCTCAGGTGGAAAAAAGTGAMAAGTGTCTTTAATATTTACATATTTTTTCATTAGCATCAACATGAGGGCTTTCTGCTGAACCTTATATCTCTTCTGGTTACAGCTGGCCAAATTCCGCAGCCTCCTGAGCACTGCTGAGGATGAAGTTGCCTGCTACTTGCTGAGAAACTTCCGGCCTCCCCAGCCCCTAAGGGGACGAGAAGTCAGAAGGAATTAAAGGAGTAAAGCCAGAGTAGTCTCCCTCTGAAACCAAAGGCTGAATCAATTTTAATAGTTACTATACTTTGTGATTTTAATTTTTTTTCGTGGGTTGTTTTAACAAATAGTTGTTGTTTTATTAGTGGCTACCCTGCAGTCATTTCTCACAGACAAGTATGCCTGGAGTTGTCATGGGTTCATAGATTTTAACAGGTCTGACTGGGTTTGAGTGCATTGGCTTGGAAGCACTGAGCCACCAGCATTGCATGCATAGAGGTCACTGCTAATCATGAGGGTCAAATGTGAAGGAGGTGCCCAGATCTTGCCACCAAATTACTGAACAGGATCCCTGGTATTACTGACAGTCTTTTGGTCTCTAACATAACATTTAGCTTCTATATAAACCCCACACTGCAATTCTCCAAGAAAAAAGTATTCCAAGGGGGTGTAATTTCATTGCTTACTTTTGCAATACCATGCGTTCTTTCTTATAAAAAGCAGTAATGACTAACAGCATTTAAATAAAACAGATATTTATGTGATCCTGTTATTCTGGATGCTTTGTAGCAGTAATATGTATTGATTTATGGGTTTTTTAAAAACAAATAGTAGGGATTTTGTATATTGCAAGATCATGTCAGGTGGATTAAGTATTCCTGAACTTCACAGTGTGATGAGATGAAATTATCCTGAAACCTGAAAACTGGAAGGGCATAGAGGGGACCTGTTTGTACTTAAATGCAGTTCATTGCATTTGGTGACAATAAAGGACTATGACACTATATCCACATAACATCAGACTTTTCCCATTTAAAATCATGAGGAAGGAACAATTATGCTCTAGATTGTTGCATGCTGCAATGTGAATACCTCTCATCTTGCTGTGGAGCACAGCACTACTCAGGTATAGAATGTCTCAAGGTAGTTGCTGATGTTCTGCTGTCATAGTTGAACTTCAGTATTTGCACTTATATTCCAACACCAAAGAGAATAGTCAGAGTAAGCCAAAGAAATCAGAATCAAGTCAACATCTAATAAAAATCTCAGCCCTCAATAGCAATATGTTGAAATATCTGTCTTTGTGAGTTGACTTGAGCCTATGTTTCTCTCAGGAGCTTTTGTTATCTGAATAGATTGGGTTTTTTTACACCAAATATTTTTATTATTTCTATGAACTTACCATAGGATGTAGTTTAGGATAGAATTATATTTACTCTCAAACRGCAAAAACTACATAGTGAACTCCAGGGATACCTGCAACAGGCAGCTAGAGGTTTTACTGGCAGCAAGTAACACCAATCTCTGTAGTACTTCTGACCAATTAATCTTCCATGACTGCTTTCCTGGAAACTTTTTTTTATAGGTTTTTATATCCTCTGCCTTTTACCTCAGTGGGTTGTTTGATCTTAAATGGACAAACATGAGGGAAATCACAATCAGGATTCAATTTATATTCTTTTTTATAACAATAAATTAGATGTAGAGATATAAGTATTTTGTCTTAGTTTAAGGTAAGTGGACTTACTTGTTTTTTTCTCCCCAAAATGTAGCTATTATATCCTGCAAGGCCTCCCAATGTATTTTGAATATTTTCTGAAGAAAAGAGCACAAATAGGCCATTGGAAAAATAAAAGGCTTTTAGCAGCACTGAAAAGAAAAGCAGGAGTATGTTGTATGTTTTCACACCCTCTTTTAGACTTAGGATTGGATCTTGTATGTTTTCCTGTTATATGAGTAGTTACAAAATGTGAGAAAATGTTTATGGATTGCAGGAAGGATACAAAGTTTGTTTGCCTCAGAAGAGAAAAGAATAAGGCTACTGMTTCATATTGTAAACAGAAGTTTTACATAATTTTTACATATTGTAAACAGTAGAGTTGATCCAGTGTTTTTATATTTTTAAGGATTTTGTCAAAATAAAAAAATGGATTTTATGAATGTGTCTTGTATTTTCTGTTGAAGAGCTTAAAGTTTCACAGAGAAGGCTTTAGTTTTATAACTAGCACCTGCAACTTTAGGTCCTGAAAAAATTGTCACCCATCATTTGCAGTCTGTATTTGGGCAGTGTAGTATTAGTATCATGTTCTTATGTTCCAATAAAATAGTTTTGGCAGTGGTAAGACATGCAATCAATTCTACAAGTTTCWGATAGTGCATTTTTGAACTATTGACTATTTTTATAGTTACGCTAATAAGTTTTAGAAGTCATCATGCAAAGCAATTCCCCTTATATGGAGATGCTATGTTCACGTTAGATTAGCCTAGCTGAAAGTGGTGACATCCAAAAAAGATTAGAAATGCTCAGTTCCTGAAATCCTTTGGGAACAGCTTCTCAGGTTATCCATCTGCTGAAACTGTAAAGTGAGAATATGGACACAGTCTCACCTCTGAGCTCTTGCTTGCACCTCAGTCACTGATTCCTCTATGCCCAAGCTACACTGAGTCTCAGACTACTCAATTCTCAACCAGAGAATTTGATCTCAAATGTGAACTTCATGTTGTACTATACCGCAAACGAGGCTGAAATATGTCATCACCCCACACTCCCCCTGCAGCTGCAGGTCTCTTTGATCAACTCTTAACCCTCTGACACACTTGGAGCCTTTATATTAAGAAGAATGAAATGCTCAGTGACCAAAACCACATAAAGTGTATTTGCTGAAAATAGTGCTGTCAAGAATTGTGGACTGCTGGAAGGTTGATCATCCATAAACCTATTCTCAAAATTAAATAAACCAGTAGAGCCCTGGGGTCAGCTCTGCTGTTTTTGGCACAGGAGGGAAGCAGTGTGCTCAGCTATGCTTATTGCCAGTTATTCTTGTGGTGTTTTTAATGTTGCACATGTTTAACATCAGTGGAGAATTTTCTTTTTGTCAAAGAAAAAGCCTGAGACGTAGCTGTCTTTCCATTCGGAGTATAGTGGGCCAAAAATACAGCAGATGTCTGTTTGATGCCATACACCCAGYTGCTRTGCACCTATGTWTTCTCTGCTSCTTTAGAGATTTGTCTCTCAGTTGCTTCCGACATGAACTGGAACCTAAAGGAATTCTAAGAATCAATTTGATGGGAAAAACCTGAGTCATCAGTTAAAAAATTTCAAAATAACTTCACAGAAAAAAAAGTGAGATATGGCATACAAATAACATATATTTGTTATACAGTTCTTATAAACTTAATGGAAAGGAAAAATTTGATTTAGATTCTTATAGCTTTAAATAAGAAAGGAGCAAATTACTAGAGATAAATCTTCAGATATTAAAAGGTGCAAATAATTCAGAGACTTGGAGCACCTTCAGGTTGTAAGCTCAGCATGAAGGTATGAATGCCAGAGGGRTCTTGCTCCAGAGATGTGGCTTCTGTCTTTTACTATCTGTTAATTAGTCTAAATAAGCATAGTGACAATCTCCCTTATCACTCTGCTGCTAGAAAGACTGCATCTAACTTCTGACGTAGCTGTTACATTTTGTTGTTCTCCCACCCAATCTGATCTTGCTTTCTAGTTACACATGCGAAGTACAAAGATTTGGTGTGTGATTTAATCTCTTAGATACTGTTATTTCCATATTTTATTTGTGAAGTACCTGACTCAGTGATAGAGGGCCTTTTCTGTGTGTCTGCTGTTTTTGTGAGACTGGAGATAATGCTGAAAAGCTGAAATGAAAATGTTTCTAAAGTTGTGTTTTGYTTCCTACTTCTGTCAACCTCTCCATCTTTTATGCCAAGTACAAGTTTTCACTGTGGTGAAACATTTGTGATCTATRTCTCTTCTCCAGTGCAGTGGAGTTTGAGGACAGGGAGTGTCTCTGACAGAAGAGTCCTGGGTTGTCAGGTGAAAACAAAGATTCTCTGCCTCTACCTAACAGAACTGATGTGCTGCACAGTCAATTCCTGTGTCTGTTTCTTTTTGTCAAATATCACCCACATTCTTGGGTAGATAAATATAAATAATTTGTAACTACTCCTGCCAAATTAATTTTTCAGATGAAAATTTTATAGGTTACATGCAACAGGTAGAAATCTATATTTTTGAGAAGATCTGATTTAATTATTTTTCTGTCTCTGATTTGTAAACATGTTTAATGAAATATCAGGTGTTTTAATGTCAACACTTTGCTTCCAGTTCTCTTCCTTTCTACAGCTGTATGAACAACAGGCAGAAATGTTGTCTCAATATTTCTCTTTTTTTTTAGCAGCACTTGAGTGATTTTGAGGAAAAAAAAATAATCCAGTCATTCCTGATGTTTTTTCAGAGAGTTTTTTTTCTTGGTTTCTGCTTTCCTTCTGTCCTGTCAAAGCTTCAACTTCTTTTATAGTTTATGATTTCTTAAATAAACTGGTGTTGCTGATGATATAGCTGATATATTAAACAACTGGTGTTGCTGTTGGAAATAGAAAAATGATTGATTGAGAAGGGGGGTATTGGGTTAGAAAATATGGTAGCAGGCTAAGCTMTATTAAGTAATCTAAAATTCTGAACTGACTATGAACAACCAACCGAGTGCTGAAATGTAGGGAAAATAAAAACGCTAAAGATAGGAGAGCAGGCACTCTGAAAGCCTTGTAATAGAAAAAGGGGCTKTTTGCAGATCGCTTTTACCGATAGATGTCACTGTGGATAAAGCAATGGTCACCTGGGCGCTGACACGGCAGCCTGAATGAGACCCACGGTGCCATGAAGGCTCAGCCTGTGAGAGAACAGGATGCCATACAACTCCCCTGTTAAGAATGTGCCACTGATTGTGATTTACCCCCTTCCTTAAAAGTGAAACAAGACCGTGAAAAAAAAAAAATGGAAGAAAAAATACTTTCTAATGCATAGCAAAAGRCATTCTGCTTTAAAAGATTATATTTAGGTGAATCTGCATTTAAATTCTCCCCTCCCGTTTTCCATAAGCAATTGCTGTTACATGGTTTCACACATGCCTAAAAGCCACATGCCAGAAACAACCACTATCGAAGCAAGGTAAGTTTTTCTATGTTTTCTTCTATCTGGAAGCTTCGCCAGGCATTAAAAAAAAAAAAAAAAAAAAAAAAAAGAGCGTTGAAGTAATTTGTGTGCAGGGAGGCTGGATGGTGCACGTCCACATCAGCACTACCAAGCAGGCTCTACAGGTCTGGCACGTTCTGGCTTAGCTGGACATCCCTGAGCTTGTGGAAAGCCACTGGGCAAAGCATGGGCAGCAGAGCAGACCGTGCCAGTGCCTTAAATTCTGGCTGTGAGCTCTGGGCAAGGACAAATTCACACACACAGTAAATACAGCTGAGCATAGGTAAGCATCATTAACCAGTTGTGAGGCTTTTTAAAGGATGCACTGAACATTCACTTGGTAAATGTGATCAATTATTGAAATCATTTTCTCCTTCAGTTTTCTCAGTCAGATGAATGGTGGTGCTCATTTCAGCCTCGGCACCACTGTTGCCTCATTCTCTCTATGAGGCTCCAGAAAGATCTTCTCTGCCTGTCTCTCTCAGTAATGAGATATTTAAATATCACTGTTAGGACTCAAGGCAGATTTCTTGGCTCACACAAGCACACTGTAAATGTAAATGTGCATTAAAAGATCTTTGCAGTATTTCAAAAGTCATGCCTCTTGCAGCCCAGAGAACCAAATGTGTCCTGGACTGCATCTCTTTGTTTTTTA